GCTGCTGTTGCATTCATGATGCTTCTTCACCGCAGTTGGGCTGAGCCAACTTACACTTAAGCTAGGTCTTTATAATGTGGATAAAATTCATTCCACTTTATTTGGTTTGCTCTGCGTACTTGATAGTCTTCTCCTAACTTGCACACGTCGTTTATGCAAATTGTGGTAAACTTGCGTAATTTTATCGCGTGGTATTTTGTAAATAACTTTCGGACATTTTGTACTTATGCGAATTCACTTATAACCAATTTATTCCATATGCTCATTTAGCAAGTATTTATGTCTCATATGCGTTTATTTTATTCGATATCGGTATTTCGAATGATTGGCTGTTGTTTGACATCCCAGGTGTGGCTGCGCTTGATGTGCATGTTGACATGGTGCCTACCTGTCTATTACCCACTACCTCGTCCATACTGGATCCAGGTAACAGTTGATCGTTGCTGGAGGGAACGAGTGCACGGTCCTAGTGGCTGTGCTAAACTCGAAGAGTGGTTGCGTGCACTCAGTGTGGAGCGGACTAGGGTCCAGTCACCGCCTTGTGTGTACTTGATTCCCCAAATACAGCGTGCTTGTGTTTGCCTGTGAAGGAGTGTGGGCCGGTTCCGTTGATGAAATGTGGCTCCCATCCACATGCCTCCCGGTCTTATTCCTTCGGGTTTCCACTGGATATGGGGTGTGTGGTTGGAGCTGTGCATGGTGCAGTGCTAGCCATCCATGGTCCCTCTGTAGGCGCAGTCGTTCTGTGGCTTGCCACAGTGACAGGCAAATCCAAAACCGGATGCCGCCTACTATGTATTTATGGGTTCAGTTCGGGTCGCAGCACTATGGAGATGGTATTTGAGCTCGTCAGTTGCATGGGAAGTGTAGAGATCGACTTCAACCTTTGTACTCGCTGTTTGTTTATTTCACCAAGGCATGGATGCAATGAATTGCGAGGCATTGTGGTTGCTGTTGGATAAGTTTGGTTGTCCGCGTAAGTTTGTAAGTGAAATTGAATGTCTGCACTATGATATGCGGACGTGGGTGCAGCTGACAGGATAGACCTCGGATGACTTTGTAGCTGTATCTGGTGTGAAGCAAGGTTGTGTTTTAGTTCCTGCCCTGGTTAATATTTTTCTTCATGCAATGATGTCTTGTGCTTTTGATGCGGCTTGTCCTAATGGTACTCGTCTGGAGCACCGTATTGATGGTGGGTTGCTGAAATCCGTCGTTTCGGTTGAGAACCCTAGTCTGTGAGACAACTATCTGACGATTGTGCGTTGTTTGCACACAACGCAGATGAGTTGCAGCACAAGACTTGTGCTCAGGCTTCGACAGCGGCCAAATTCGGGCTCACCATCAACACAAGCAAAACTGTCTGTTCCTTTCAGCCTTCACCGGAGGTGCAATCTACAATGGTGCCACGAATCAGCATTACTGATGACGTATTGGTAAACTCCTCCCTCTTCCGCTACATTACGAGTTTGATGCCCACTGACTAGTAGATACACAGTGAGCTTCGTATCCGCGTATCGAAGACAGCGGCGGCATTCGAGAAGCTAGAGTACCGAGTGTGGAACAACCATCAGCTTACCGTTGGCACGAAGCTAATGGTGTACAAGTCCATGGTGCTGCCCATTCTTCTATACGGCAGCGAAACGTAGACGATGTACCGGCGGAATGTGCGATATCTCGAGCGGTTCCATCAACTGTGTTTGCGACGCATTCTGCGCATCGGTTGTTGTCACAGATTGCAGACACGGAAGTGTTGTGCACTAGTGAGATGTTTGCAGTAGACTGCATACTTTTCTGAGACACCCGAGGTGCTCGGTCGTGTGTGGCCTATGGATTCGACTCGAACACCGAAGCAGATATTAAATGGTCTGCTGGGTGTTGGGAAGCGGCATGTGGAAAAACTGAAGCTTTGTTACCAGAACGTGATCCAAATGAGCCTCTCACGTTCTAATCTTGATTGCATGTTATGGGATCGAAAGCGGTTGATCGACGTGCATGGCGAGATCTGATTACAAAGGCCGTTGCTGAGTTGCGAGAGAAATCCTTCGTGCATGCAGAGTAAAAGCGACGATTGCAGAAGTGACAGGCGCCGATGGGTTGTACTCCATCGACATGGTACTGTAGCAAATGCAGTCCCGAGTGCCTGATTCAGGTACGCCTAATGATGCATAAGCTAATCCACTCGGTGCCAACGCCGAAACCAAAGCAAGTCCTGCAGAGAACGTAGGCCGAACCGGTGCAGAGTTTGTAGGTACGCTGCATTCGATTTGCTAACCCATTGCTTGCATGTTGTTTCTCCTTTTTTCAAGTGGTGGGTTTTGATATATTGTCTCCTTAATTTCTACGTGAACTATCTTCTATTAACTTGCACACGTCGCTCAAGTTACTTGTAGTTAACTTTGATCCTATTTTCGCGTTTGTGACGTTTTCGTAACATATATTTTCTGACGTCCTGAACCTATAGCGGATGGTTTTGTCAACCAATTTATTTTATGTGCTCTTTTATCGAAGAGATATGTCGGCATATTTGAATGCATTATTTGATTTAATTTATTTTGTATCTTTCTCAAGTGATTGGCTGTTGCTTGATATCCCCGGTGTTGCTGAGTTTGATGTGCAGGTTGACAAGGTGCCTACCTGTCTATTACCCACTACCTCGTCCATACTGGCTCCAGGTAACAGTTGATCGTTGCTGAACGGGACGGGGTGTACGGTCCCTTTGGCCGTGTTAGGCTCAAAGAGCGGTTCCATGCACTCAGTGTGGAGCGGACTAGGGTCCAGCCACCTCTTTGTGTGTGATTGATTCCCAAATACAGCGTGCTTGTGTTTGCCTGTGAAGGAGTGTGGGCCGGTTCCGTTGATGAAACGTGGCATCTATCCACATGCATCCGGTCTTATTCGTTTGTGGTTTACAGCGGACATGGTGTGGGTGTATGGAACTGTTGCTGGGACATCGCAAACCACCCATGGTCCCTCTGTAGGCGCGGTCGTCCTGTGGCTGGCCACAGTGACAGGCAAATCCCAAGCCGGGTGCCGCGAACACATATATATATATATATATATATATATATATATATATATATATATATATATATATCAAGTAGATCTGGTCAGAGAGGTATCACACTGGTTGTAAAGCGCTGGGCGGCTCTTTCATCGCTTAGAGTCATATGCAACGCCTGTTCCGTCTTCTTCCTTTGGATTTAGCAGCCGCAACCCTACTTTTCGCGTATGCCTTTGGCCGAAAGAACCACATGACTGCTACTAATCTGAAGGTCGCGGGTCTGAGCCTGCGTAGGGGATCGGACGACCTTCGCAGTTTCCATAGCCAACGCGCGATTGGTGGTCTTTGTGTTTTCGTCAATTTTCGGCACTGCGTACCGGGGTACTGCTGCTGCCTTTTATCACCACCAAGAGTCAACGCAGTGGTCGGTCCTCGCCAATTTTGTAGAGGGGCTTTGCACGATACGGTAGAGAGTGAGTACTTATCTGTGTATTGTTGCTTGGCATACTTGTGACTTATCACACATCAGGGCAGTGTCATCGTCGTACTCCAAGTGTAGCAGTCAGTCACCTGGAAGCAGCTTCTAAGCCGTGCCCGGTGAACGTAGTTTCCATAACTGCGGCGATTACGAAGTTAAAGAATAAAAATGACACCGGGAATCCATGTCTCACAACAGTGGGGATATTGAAGAACAGGGACAGTTTGCCATAAGTCTTCACTGCCCGAACTGTGTGCGTTTAGCGCTATTATAATATTTACATATTTATTGGCATAAATTTCCTGTGCAATCTGTCCCAAAGGGCACATTGATCCGCCGAATCGAAGTCAGGGAACACGACTACCACCAAATATTTCGGCGCTCCTACAACTGACGTTTGATGAAGATGTAGTCAGTATAGCCCCGACTTTGACGACACTTGTCTTGCGCCTTGCCAATCTAGTTTTCACGGGTGTCACTTTACGGAGAACAACAAAGGCAAATAACTTTGAAATATTTGTGATCAAATCGATCTCTCTTTGATTGCCGCGTTCGGAACTTGAGCCTATCTGGAAAATCGGGGTCACGCGGCTGCAATATGTTGGGACAGTTTGTTGTTCTCGCAGCTTCACTAGTAACTTGTGCAGTCATCCTTATCTTTGCACGATAGCCAGCTGTTTGTAACGGCATGTTGTCTACACAGGGTGTAGGCGTCTTGACCCTGAATGTTTGCTTAGGGCATTAAGGTTTTCAGGTAAGTCCCCCTTCTCTCCGTCTTCTTATTCTTTATTTTTTAGGTCCTCATGGTTGTATGGCAGCGAAGCATCAGTTCAAATGGCTGATGTACTGCTGTTAATGATGATGTGCAATCATCCACATAAGCTGCTCCTCCGAATTTGCAAAGAACTGGAAAAGGTCTATCTGCTCATGCGGCCTGATTCCATTTCAACAGTCTGATCTCACTTTCGACTTCTGCGCTACAAGGCAGATCGAAAAAGGAGGTCCAGAGAGAAGGGCCATCACTGGTCGTAACTGATTAATGAAACCGTTTTTCAGATCATTCAGCTCAGCGCTGTAAGGATTTTGACAGGTTGTTAACAAAGTTATGTTATACCAAGTCACCTGTTACCAGTTTCGCATATCAGACAAAATAACTTCCGATAGTTAACGAGGGCAACGGCCTTTTCTCTCTTTGATGCACAATAAGACCACCAGGTTTACGCGTAGAAGCACTTCTTCATATTGGGAGTCTTCAGTTGTGCGCATTCCGCGGCATACACTGCTGACGTCGAGAAATCGTAGGTTTGGTTTCCAGTGGAGTCATGGAACGCGCACTACTGACGAAATGGCTGGCTGGTGCTTTCCGGACGCACGGGTCTTGCCGGATAGGAGCTAATTGCTGCGAATAATTTATAAATCACCTTCAATTGTTTTTCATTCCTTACTATATTAATTTTAAATCTTATGCATTTGTAGGCCCTCTAACAACTTCCACTTTTATACTCCTTAATCATTGTACAGTCTGGATCGTTGATTGGGACCACGTATGTTGTGACGGGGATGCAAGAGGCCACCATCTATTCGCCCATAGACATCCAGCCTTCCTTCATTCTACTTCCCTGGTCTATTGGGACTGAACTCAACTCAAGTTTTCAACTCGTGGCGACTGGTGGCAACGGAGTATACACTTGGCTGGTGTTGGATCCAGAAGGATTACGGAAGCAAACAAAACCTGTTGTTATCACGCCAAATGGGGAAGTCTCAGCTCTGGTCAGTGTACTTTCTATTTCTTATCGGCCACTGCTTTTAACGATCTTTTTTGGGTATCAGACCTTTTTCACTCCGGCTCCTGGTCAGTGTCGATGGCTTGTCTTTAACAAGTTCATTTCTGCAACACCTGATGACGTCCAACTTGTTGCTACGATGTGGTGACTTGGATATTTCTTAAACAGCTAAGCACACGCAATAATAATGTGTCAGCTGTACGCCGTAACGGCGCTTCGCCTCCGTGCGACCACCACCAGTCGCGCGCGGGCTGAGTCTACCGTAAGGACGCCCCCTCCTACGCGGATTCGGACCCGCGCCGCAAGATTACGAGAGAAGCTCGTTACCTCTAAGCTACGAGCCGACTAAGCACACATAGCACACAAACAAACACATTCTACTCTTTTCTCTAGGTTTAAGTTCGGATACCTTCAACTTTAGAACGTGGCCTGTTTCCTCGATTCATCCGTGAATCCCGTCTCCACTTTACTTGTACTCTTTGGTTAGATGCTTACGTCGAAACATGGCCTTTTCTGGTTTATTTTCGTATCATTGTAACGTCTTGTAATGCATTTGGCAGTGGGACATACGAAGTTGTCGCTGACTCACGTTTACATAATTGAGACGAGCACGTTTTGCGATCTATACTATTGGCCATTTTCGGAATGATAATCGCAGCAACTGATATTGCGATAATCACTCAGTTTTAGCCACTAGATGTTTAACCATTTTGTACTGGCGGTACTTATAACTATCACTTTGTTTAAATTTTTAATATTGCTCAACTGCAAGCATTATTTCGGTCGCTACTCACGAGCATTTGTACAATAGCTTTTTGTCAACAATTAGGTAAGGGCCAGAACTCTGATACTTTGTTCTACGGTGAGTAGAGTTAACTTTTGTGGTTCATGTCGGGCGTGGTCGGAATTTGATTTCCGAGAACTGAGTGGTTGCTCTGTTTGTTAAACATTTTTTTAGTTTTGTTGCAACTTGCTAGTCCTATTAATTTTTATTCGTTTTTGTAGTGGACATTCTATGATTCGGTATACTTATTTTACATTTTCATGCGTACTCCGTATTATAGTGACCCAACATATATGTTGGTACCAGAAAGTACCACCAGGCCTCAAGGGTAATATTAACAGTTAGAGCCTTTACTAGGTGTAACGATGGGGTGGGGCGGAAAATTTATAGGTTGGAAAAATTTAATCTTGTAACCGAATGTAATTTGTTTGACAGTTGTTCACATCTTCATTTTTACTTGCATATACATATGTTGTGATTTGAGTGTTTATTAAAATCTTCACATTGTAGTTACTAATGGTGTCAAGCCGATATGAGTGGTTATATTTCTTTAAGTGTATCAAGGCAAATTACAGGACATACCTAATTCTAAAGACAGATTTGCTTTTCGGATAGCCTTATGTGCAGAGTCACCCAGACTGAGAGGAAGTGGTTATGTTTTGATAATGTATAATTAGTTCACATCTGTGGAACTAGTTGAGCGTCTGAAGATGAAGAACACTTTTACCTGTGGAACTGTCCGCCCCAACAAGAATCATCTTCAAGAGGACAAAGAGTTGAAGCAAGGTTATTTTGCTTGTCGTTCTACAGATTAAGGAATTGTGTTCTTCAAATGGGAGGACAACAGGTGTGTTCATCTATTGTCCAATTCCCATGTAGGTGAATCAATTACTGTGTAGCGTAAACTGAGGTTTGGAACAATGGCCGACATAGTTGCACCTAAGATAGTACAAGTTTACAATTCAGCAATGGGCGGAGTGGACATTTAAGATAGGAACTCAAAAAATTGGTGACACCGACTTTTCTGCAGTGAAGAACGTGACATATGTCAATGCATATGTGATGTATAAGGATATGCATCATAACATCTCAGTTTGGGAGTTTCGATTTAACCTGGCAATGGAGCTTGTCCCTATGGGAAGCAAAGAGGGCGTTCTTAAATTCATACAATGCCATCACAAAACAAACCAAAGAGATGAAAGAAAAACGAGTATCATGTGCTTACATACATCGGGACACAGAACTTTGGCGCTCACTTGCCTACATTTGTTGCAGCAAGTAGAAGATACGTAATGTGTTCTATCTAAAAAAAATCCAGTCCAGACGACGTTCAAAATGTTCTTTTTGTGCTATTTTTGTGCTGCAACGACAAAAAGGACTGCTTTGAAAAATCTTATTTTCACTAATGTGTATTCATGATGACAATATTGATGACCTACGTTCCTGTCGTTACTTACAAGTACCTCCCAAAGAGAAACATAAAAATTTTTACAAGTTAGTTCCTTTCTTTTTATGTTTATTTCTAACCGAAGTCTACCTTGTGACAAAAAATCACGAAAAGTTTTGGGTAACTTGAAAGGGCTAAAGAACAGTATTTTTCTAGTTCTAGTAGCTGCGTCAGAACAACGTTTAGTGCGAACACACCTTTCCTGTAACAACGAATTTGCCTGGCAGCTGACTTCATCTACCCAAATCGGCCAGGTTTAATGCTGCCTAGCACTGTACCACACACAAACAATACTTTATCTGAATTCTAACGGAATGCAAATTCGTAATTTTGGTCATTTGATATCTATCTACACTAGGTCGCTATAATTACAGTTAGGAATCCTGCGGCCAGTTCTGTACTGTAGTTGATACAGCAGTTTGTTGCGTTGAACAGAGCGTAGTCCACTAAAATTTGGTCCGTTGTTCAGCGTAACTACATTTATGGTCGGAAGGACTTCCTTATGCTTTAGTCTCATCATTCGTATATCAGGTTTCTGCCAGGAATAAAGTTGATTTGGCTCTTTATTTAACTTTATTTTGTTGGTAAGCGCGAACTAATGAAACTAATCCTGAACGATCCCCACGAAGGCGTCACATTTATTGGTTGCGCTGCGCCACCTATCAACTTTTTGATTCGCGTTGACGAAACCCTAGAGCAGTCGTACAATCAACCACAGCGAGCAATCGAAAGAAACTACGGTCAGGCCGAGAAGGAAATAATGGGCATAGCTGTCTGACAGAGTCATATCTCCCAGAAAAGTTCATTATTTCAGTGGAAAAATGACTTAATCAATAGTATCTAACAGAAAGATCAAGGCGTTTCAGAAACCTTCACGTCAGAAATGTTCCCATCTACGGGACTCACGTACCTACCTCCCCATTGGTAAGCGGAACTGTTATTTATATACTACTGCCTATTGGCGCAGTAGCCTCCGCTTTTGTCCACTAAGATCTCATCTGGTTTTGAGTCATTTATGATTTTTAGCAGTATCTTGCCTTTTTATGTCACTTCTTTCTAGACGCCTGGGGATGCTAGTATTGTGGCTTCAAGTACCTCGAATCCACAACTCTGCGGTTTTGCTAAAGTATCAGTCACTTTCCCGGCTTCCATCAAGTTCGTACCAGGTCCTGCTGAAGTTGTGATTTTCCCGGTTGGCTCACATGATCGCACCATCCGTCCTTTGGTTGTGACAGGAATCAATCGCTCCGTTTTGACAGTCGGTTTGGCGGTTTTGGATTCTCACGGACACTCTATGTCTGACTGCAGGGGGCTGAATATTACTATCAAACCACTGGACATCTCAGTGGTTAAAATATTGCCTGGTTCGTTATTTGTGTTGTTTCTGTCCCTTTTGCACTACTTTTTTCTTCTAGTCTCCTTCTAATTTGCAAGCGATAACCATGTAACGTCATGAACCCAAGTGTAATGCTGCAACTGGCACTTTTGATCTTTACTCTAACTTTATATTTTCTGCTGACTTTGATGTTTTGGATTATCCGTTGATTAAGGGCGACTTGAGCTTAGTTCTTACCGCTCATCCGCGTAGCGTCGTTGTTTTGCTGCGATTACAAAGTGCCCGGAAGTTTAACTTTGCAACTAGAGCGGGAAACTTTTGCGGTGCCATATTGAAGTGGTCATCAAATGATCAACACCGTCATACCGCGTTAGTTTGGTTTGTTTTGGACCTTCTCTAAATTCTAGACTCAGATTCTTCGAAGTGCAAGTGATATCTAGGAAAAGTGCATTTTTACTATCCGCCGAATATAGAATGATTACGTGTTTCTTTCGCCCGAATAACTCCCGGCACTTCGTCCATTGAGACAGTCTCTCCTCGCCTAATGCGGAAACGTCCGGTATTAAAAGGGAGCATATTTCTCCTAGTCCCTGTGCAACTTTGGCGTATTCGGTCAACCACTACATTTTCGACAATTTCTGTAGTATATTTGGTGAAGGACGCACATCTGACATTCACACGCAATAGATACTTCCTCTCACACTTCGTTAGTCCAAATCACCCAAATTGTTTATACGCCCAACTTGAACTGGATGCTTTATCTTAACATAAGCATAGGATGACTCTCGATTATGCATTAATTTATTCCACATCCACATCTAGTAACGCTGCTTGGTGCCCCCACTTTATTTAATCATTTTCCATCCAATTAGGCCATCTTTTTGTCCAATCCGAATCCAGTCACTCCGATCTTTCTGCATGTCTTCAAGTACATGTGGTTGGTATTACCGTCGGCTTCACCGAACTCGAAGCTGTCTATCACTTGCACTCTCTTGTTCCTGGGATGTCGGTTGAAGAAACAGACGCCAAAGTCACTTTGAGTGCTCGTTTCCCTGTCGCTGTCCATCAAGCGATTGACTTCCTGAACCCTTCGTCTTCCGTCGCCTATGCTGCTTTGGGTTCGACCCGAACATTTTTGGTAAGTTCGAGGCGTTACAACAGTCTAGTCTTTCATGAGACTGTCACTATCCATGCATGTCGAACTAGTCCACTGTGGTTCTACGTACAATCCAATCATCATCACCAACCCCACTACGTAAGTACCTCATGCCAGCGTTTCGGCACTATTGCAGCCATGTAGTGTGAAATACCATCTCCTTACCAAGGGCTGAAAGGAGCCCAGGTGAAACCTTCTTATGAGCACCGAATAGCCACAAACCTCTGGCTATTGAGTGAAAAAAATGACATCGGCGTTAAACATCCACTGCCGTTTTCAGTGCACCGCTTCAGGTATGCGGCGTTTCTCAACCCTACCTGACATGTGGAGCGATCAAGTCAAGTCAGCAATACACCTTATACACCCATGAAAATTGAATATTCAGCCACAACACATGCGCGGTTACTGCTTGTCTTCTTTCGGAAGCGTGCAGGTGCCAGCGACTGTGCGGTATTCTTAGACCGCATACAACTGGTGATGGTCGCGTCGCAGTGAAGCCAAGAGCGTCAGCACCGTGTACTGGCTTACTGCTGATGCCCTTTTTCGATCAACGGCGGCGCCATTGGTTGGTGGCGACTTTGACAAATATGGTTGCGTGTTGCGACGTCAGTGGAGCTGTTTACTTTCTTCCCTATCTACAGCTAGATGAATCATATAGATCTCATCTGTTGCAAAAATCGAAAGTACAGGCTTAGACAGTGCACTCCCACAGAACATTCAGCGGCTGCGTGAAACCATTGCTTCAACAGATTTTAGTTTATTTTACGATGCAGACGTATCGAAATATTGTGGCCAATTAACTAATTACTTAAACTTCCGATTCGACACCTGTTGTCCAACTGAAACAAATTTTATCCATGCGATAGATTCTCATCTCAACGTCTCAGACGACTGCGTAGGCTCAAGCGAAAATTTTTTAGACACAGTCTTTACATTCTTCTGTCGATTGATATGAAAATCATATTACGTCACCCCAAGCTATACTTAGAAACAATAATTTTCGTAACATATGGAAAATGATGAAACGGTTAAGTGGAGTCACCCGTGAGGTCTCCCATTCAATTCCTGATGTGGATAAACTAAATCTCAAATTTTATGACAAGGATGGCACTTCATGCTTTGATGTCTGCTCTGCTGAGTTACAGCTAGCCTCCAATAGCCCTCCTTCTGTGAGCATCCTAGAAGTACACAAGGAACCAATCTGATTGCAAGTGAACAAAGCACAGCCCGGATAAGCTGTCTTCTTAAGGAGTGTGCAAATTACCTGGCACAGTTTCTCACTGACTTGCACACACTGCTTCAAGCAGCGCAAGGTAGCTGACGGTTGGCGAATCTCAATCATCACGTCGGTGCAAAAAAGGGAACATGCAAATATCTGCCGATCGCTTGCATGTCATTTGCTCTGAAGACATTTGAGAGGTTTATTCCTAACAAGACCTCAGCCCAGACCCATTTATATCACCCTTATCAGTTTGCATATCGCAGCTCATGATCCGCCACGGATGCAGTAGCATATCCGATACATACTGTGCTCTCGTCACTGGATAATAAAAACAAATCCATCCGCATTTCATTCCTGGATTTTAGCAACGCTTTCGGTTGTGTGAATCGTGAACTGCTGTTACGCGATCTATTAGGTTCCGAAGTCCAAACTTCTGTTGTTTGTCTGTTGAAAGATTATCTTACCATACGTATCCAATTTACCAGGGTAATGAAAAAAGAACTCTTCTTCACTCACGATGTACTTTGGTGTTCTTCAGGGAGCCATTTTGTCCTCCTTCTTACTTTACACTTACCACAATCCTTGTCCCTGAAGACGGACGACGTAATCCTTGGTGTTCATCATCCAAGCCTAGTGTCATCGGCTAAACTGCAAACCCTCCTTGACAAATCCCGTTGCCTACCGCTAAACACTTCCAAATGGAAGGATGTCCTTTTTTCGCTGTTCTATGAAAATCACTACTAGCAGATCCCAACGCAGTCTCTTCCACTTTGCATTGACGATGAATGTTTGACCTCATCCACCTCAGTAAAATAACTGGGAGTGATACTGAGCATAGGGTTTATGTGGTCCCATCACGTGAACCATACCTTCACTAAACTTAAGAGACTCCTATTCTATGTTGCACCTTCCAGGTCTTCTTTCGTCTCTGTTTTTCGATCCATCCTTTTATCACTGCGTTTGTTATTTCACTGGACCTATTGTTGTCCCGTGTTCTTTCTTGATCTCCTGGGTAAGAACCTCGTAGTAATTGTCGGGTCAGTGAAGCATCTATCTCGGTGTAGTGGCATTTCAAGGTTGGAACTTGTTAACATCATTGAAGCCGTCCATGTCAACTTATGTAATAAGCTGGCATCTAAAATACTCACTGATATTAGCCACCCCCTCCACAGGGCCTTGTTCGAGTGAGTATCAACCACCCTCACTCAGACAGCTACAAAACTGTGTACGGCTGCACAATGGCCTGTGGAACATCAGTAGTTCCTTGCCTGACACGTTTTTTGAGTGATAAAAAGTTATTAGTTCAAAAACCAGTGATGTTTGCTCTGTCAAGCTTTTTTTAGCCATTGTGGCTTTATGTATCATGTGGTGTTTGTTTTCCTTATTTATCCCTGTCCTTGGCGTGTGTTAGAACTGATTAGTCACCCACCATGGATACATAAAACGCATTCTTGACTTTCTGACAGTATTCCGCTATCTGCGATCTGAATTGCCGATTTTTGTTTTATTGACTTTCCCCTCCTGCCTCTTATACGATCTTTTGTCACTGTCTGTGCATCTGTCTAAGTCAAGGTAGCTGAATCCACACACATTTGTGCACGGATCATCCTCCTCCCCATTGGATGTTGGCTAAAGGTGAGAAACGTCTCCGCTATTATACCATCATACAAATAGATTAGATATATCAAGAAGCGAGATACTGAACGCTACCGAACGCAAAAACCCAACAGAAGTATTATAATACTAGTATCATACTGTGCATCGAGTTCGAGGTCGTGGTTTGGGGGGAGAAGCTAAGCGGCAAGGAAAGCGACGTAGAAACTCACGATACAATCACCATTGAAGTCGGCTTCTGGCGATGTCAACAAGTGTATCCAACTAAACGTGTTCATCATCTTTCGTACCCCAACCAGGACATCTAGAGGCCCCAACCTAGGCGGTTTGAATTAAGGATCATCATTCCTCTTGGTCATATCGGTTGGCCTCTTCCATCCACAACCTTGTTTTACGCAAACAACGTAATTCGGGAAACTCGCTATGCTGACATACGCAACTTCTGGCCCAGTCATCGTAGCCTGATGCCTGATATAATGGTGGTAAGCGGTCCACTCGCTCTTCCTGTACCAAATACACGACGCAGAACACGCTCATTGCTCACATGGTGTTCCCACCAGACACGAGCTAAGCTGCGAAGGCAGCGATGATCGAACATAAATCACACTTTTATATCTGTCGATCGGATGGACTTAAGTTCTCAAGGGTTAATCAGGCTGCTGCGTTGTAAACTCTCCTCTTCAGAGTGACATTGATCCACTCACGTTACATGTGATGAAGATTGCCCAAAGCTTCTCGAGCTTTTCCATACGATTCCTGATCTCACTTTCGATTCTGCTTGCGCCCGTCGCAAGGAAACTGGACATTAATGTGGTGCGACGCCTTGCGTACCTCCTTGACCCATTGAGCTATACTGCGTGGTGTCTCCGAGCATCTTGAGAGATACTCCTAGCAGGTTGGTCAATGATGAGAGGTCAGACAAACTCAGTCTGCTGGTCCTTCAGGTTGGGGGTTTGAAATGGAATGGCGTCCATTTCTGTGAAACTAAATCATTGCCACCTCCCCGCTGCCTTGCGGACCGGCTTTTGAGCCGAAGGCTTTGTTTGAGGACCCTAATCGTCCTCCTGTCTAGGTCTGGGCGCACTGACAGTATCCCAGCGCACATACAACCATGACTTTTTCTTCAAACATAAACTTCATTCTGCATCGGCCGTCGCGCAGATTATCAAGGGTCGCCTTATCTGCTGCAAACAGCAAGGCGGATAATCGAAACATGCTACTGCTGGTGCCTGCCTTCTTTCTTTTCCACCTGTTTCTCTTAATCCCATCCCAACCCCCATTACTAACCTTCCATCTATAATTCCCAGCATAATTGACAGCAACCGAAGTGCCACTGGAGTAGAACCATCTGCAGCCACCTTCCCACAGCACCTATCGGACGCCTATCGGCAACAGTCCCTTATAAGACCACGCTGTCCCGTTTCCATGGCGACTTTCAACGTTCGCACTCTAAGACAAATAGGTCAACAGACTGTACTCACACGCACTTTGGATCCACTGGGTGTTGATGTGTGTTGTGTGTCCGAAACTAGGATCAATGACCCTGATGGGGTTGTTGAAGTAACTGCACCCGGCTTGTCCTCTCGCTATTGGTTGCACGCATCCGGAGACGCTGATGCAGCACTCACAGGTCAAGATGTTGTGTGTATTATTCTAATCTCGGAGGCTGGGCCATCGTCGGTTGATTCGATTCCGGTGAACAGTTGTTTATCTGCAGCCCATTTGACGACATCAACTAAGGTTGCTTCACAAAGTAGTACAAAGCGCTGTTTATTTGTGATTTCCATTTATGCTCCCACCGACTACAGTTCTAATCCTGTTAAGGACACATTCTGCCACGAACTGAACGCACTACTACGCAGTGCTACTAGTTCTGATATCATAGTACCTGCATCAGATATGAACGCACAAGTAGGGCATCTGAGCTCTTCTGAAGCTCAGCTGGGTGGTAATTATGGGCTTAACTCCGAACGGACTGACAACGGTGAGTGTCTGCTGCAACTGTGTGCGGAGCACCAGTTGTTTCTTAGTAGCACTGTTTTTAGACGCATTGGGCGCCGAAGTGGCACTTGGCATCCTCCTGTGGCTGGCTAACGATGGACCCAAATTGACCACATTGCTACAGGTGACATCCTGTGACATCCTG